ATTAATTATGTATCGATAAAACTCATACTCAATTAATAAAATCATGAGAAAGGCCTCACTTTAACACTTTAAAAAAATTATATTGAATATATTATATATTATATATTAAATAAGTAATTTTTTAAAAAAAAACTCTTTTCTACTTCTTTTTCTATGCTTGAAAATTTTTTTTTTAGGAAATTTTTAAGTTGTTTACTTTTTCTTTCACTCTCCCATTTCCCATTTTCTTTACTTCTCTTTTCCCATACTTTTTATTCCCTCTTTTCTATTTTTACCTCTTCTTTCTACATATTCTTTATATTAAACTTACTCTTTTCCCTTTCTTTTTTTCCTTTCCTGCCAAAGTTAAGTTTTCCCTTTTTTCTGAAGATTTTTTCCTAGGTCTCTCTTTCTTTTATAAACCTACTCTCCATAATATCAACTCCTTGACCAATTAATACCCTTTTCTCAAGACATAGGCTTCAGAATTTTTTTTTTCCATGACCTTACAGAAAAAGAATGGATGATTTATTCCCTCCAAAAGATTGACATGGTTATCATTACTAAATCCGATATCATTTACTTGTTAATGGTTAAACTAGATACATCTAAGAAATTAGTATACAATTATTATTATCTAAAAGTATTCAAGGAGTTGCACCCCACTGTATCCAGAAGAATATGATAGCCAATGCCAATGCAGCTAACAATGAGCTAAGTTAGTTTACAAATGTCATACTGGTGATTGGAGAAACTTAGTAGGATAATATGTGAAGACCAGGGATTCTAGTTACCCCACAACATGAGCTGATAATGATAATGAAAGTTTTTTGCTCACCTTTCTGACAATATAGGCTTATTATATAAGGTTAGATAACAATATTTATAAAAAACTCCAATTTCGATCATGTTCATTTTGTTAAAAATTTTCCTTTTATAATAATTTTAAGCAAGAAAAAATGTTTTACATTCTTTATTGCAAGTGAGCCCAACTCAGAAACTCAAAAACCTTCAAGACAACTAGTGCAGTAGGATGGAACATCTGGTTGAAGTCTATTCAAGTTTGGGAGTCTTGCTTATTCTTTGATTATATGAGAAAAAACACGTGACAGTTCTCTTTTCTTCAGTTCTTTTGCATCCCTTCTTACCCTTATTATATCATAAAAACCATATACATAATTATTATCATACTCACTAAATCAAATAATTTCCAAAATATATATTCAAACAGAATTAGTGAGTCTACTGTTTGTTTAAAGTCAATCCACACATACAATATTTTTGTAGTAATATTTGCTGAGCCATTTTCAATTTCCAAAAAATTTTTACCCAAAAAACCAAAATTAGTTTACCCTCAAGAGGATTAGTACTCTTCAATCATCCAATCAGATTTCACTTAAAGATCAAAACAAACCCAAACAAGCTTAAACTGGTTTTGTATCATAACAACGATCACAACAACAACAACAACTAATATACTATTAACAACTATAACAACAAACAACATCAATATACTCTATCATCTATAGTAACCGACGAGCTGGAGAGATGTGACAACAAGCCTGTCTGAAAGCTTCCAAGGGGAAATAATTAGTTTTTTACTTATAGATTTTATAGTATATTCAATTTAGTTTTAGTTACAGTTACTTTTATTTTTTTTTTTAATTTTTTATACTTAAAAAATCAAAAGAATTTGCAAAATTTCCTGGGATAGTAGACATAGCTGCTATTCAGCCTTATCTAGCATATTAATATTGATTTTGAATTTTTTTACAATATTAGTTAGATATTGTAAAGTAGGCAAGCTAGTATTTAACTTGTTGTATGCAATGTATCCAAAAGATATTGTTTTTTTCATGATGTATACCTTGTTATATACAATATCAAATAAAGAGATAATGTTTACCTACTGAAGAAACCCTTCAAAAAGAAACTCCAACTTCATTACATTTAACAACTTTTCTTAACAACTATCACTACATATTCAAACATTCTTTTTTCACCTCCCTTTGCCTTATACTTGTATTGGATTCTACTCAAGTACTTAAATGGTGCAGCTATATATATGAAACTTCTTATAAAAAGCAGCTGTCCCCTTTCATACTTGCATCAGATATAGGCAACTGCTGCAGGCTTGGGTAACCTGTAATCTACCACAATCCTAGAAGGGTAGAGAAGGTCAAATACTAGGTGATCAGATAAAAAACTAATCTCTGTTAAATGTCCAAGCCAGAGTAGCAACCACTTAATTAATTGAGCAAGTTATTTAAATGAAGTATAAGATGGAACATATTTGGCTTATCATATATCAAGCCACATTTGAAAAGCAAGCTTGTCAATCCTAGTTATGACTTGAAGGCCAATCTGTATATAGTGGCTGCAGCACCTTCATGTGATTAGGTAATCACTTTTCTCTAGATAGCTAGACACTATTCAAGAAATAATATAGGTTTTGAACTTCTTTTTTCTATATTCTTGGATGGTGCTAAGGAGCACAGAAGATGATCCATGTTTGAGGAACCTTGCATTTAACTCTTTCTAGCAAAGAGAAATGTATATTATATTGTAAATATGTTATAAATCTTGTATTCACAAGTCTAAAATTATAATAATAAAATAAAGTGTAATAGTCTTCTGCTCCAAAAAAAAAAAATTAAATAAGTAATTTTTTAAAAAATGTATTTTTAAAAAAATTTAAATAATATAAACTTTCTAAATAAAAAAATTTTTTTATAATTAACTATTTCAAATATAATTTTAGTTTTTGATCCACTGAATAAAGGATTTCGTAATTAAATCGATGATCAAATAATATCCGTGTAACGCTTGCGCGTGACACTTATTTGAATATATACCGTATATATATATTTCAAACTAGATTCAAAAACTTTTGCCATGTCCGTCTTTAAAACAAAATGTTGCTATGAATTTCTGATTTCAAATGTTTCCAAGATCAATACCACCGTTTCAGTGTACAGCCCCCCCTTTGCCACGTCGCATGATATGTTTTGGCAACTTGAGTTTATACCCGTAAGTCTATATTTTAATGAATTGATCCTATTTATCGTTTGCATAATATGAATTTCCGCACCGTTGAAATTCCATTAATTTCTTCTACTTTTTTTAGCTATCTTCAGAGGAACCAGAACATTGTGCAGCGTTTCTGTATGCAATTCCTAATCATGAAGAGGCGAATTGCACGGGATTATGGACAAGAAGGAACGCGCTGACTGCGAAAATATATTTAAAAAATGCAAAAAATAATGCTTATTTTAAGAAACAATCTGTTAAGATGAATTCATTTTCGGCAAAATTATCTGGGTGGGGTAAGTTAAGCTATATATATGTAAGATTCTTTTGTGACCTTGTTTTGTTCGAATTCTTGATATTTTATAAACTTGACCTGATTTAAAGGCTGGGAAGCTTTCTTTAGTAAAGCAAACTTACCCGATCATGTCTTGATTGGTGTCGAGTTTGACCGGGCTGAAATGGGTCTTGTTTCGCAAAAATGGCCTCTTCCAAGTAATCCGCAATTACACGAACCCGTACCTCAAGATTTGATAAAAGCGTGGGAAGGTCAATTGAACAACCCAACAACATCTGATTGCATATTTAATGTTCGGGGGGAACTAATTTATGCAAATTCCGCAATATTATCTGCTAGATCAAAATATTTTGAACCCCTTTTTAAGGGGAAATGGTTAGAATCAGACCCGACAAAGCAAGAATATCAGCATACAATACTGAAGGAAAAAAGAAACATTGATTCATCCATATCAAAATACAGTCACGTAATTGAAGTTACTGATTTTCACCATCAAACTTTTCTGGAGATGTTACGATTTCTTTATACCAACAAGGTTACATTTGTTGAGATAGGGGACTCCAAAGTCACTCCTTTAGATCTTTTCAAAATTGCTGATAAATACTTAATTGATGATTTGCGTCAACACGCAAAGTCGGAGATATTCAAGAACCTTAAAATTGATGATGCAGCTGAATTTCTTTTTGGTACTGCATGGAAATACCCGGAGTTGAAAGAGGAAACAATGAAATATGTAGTTCTTAATTTTGTTGCAGTTAGGCAAACATCTGCATTTAAAAATATTTTGGCTGACCCTTCCAACTACCCGTCATATGCCGAGTTACTGAATGAGTTGCTGGCAGAATTATTTCCAGCAACTGGAAGTACGGAGAGTATGAACACAGGAAAGTCGGCTAAGGAAGAAATGATTTAGATGATGTTATTTTGATTAGATATTCGTGTAAATTCAACTTACTCGATGTAAGAATATTATTAATAAGAACTATTTTATAGATCAGATTATGTAATCATTTTATTTATTTTTGTTTCCAGTTTACAACTTAGTGTTATTTCCATTTTTCAATTCATTTTAGAAGGCACAAATTTTTTTCTACATCTAATTTTTCAAGCAATATTTTGTAATATAATAAAATCTTTATGGAATCATATTGTTTGTTCACACAAAATAGTGATTGTATGGGCAATTTCTAATCATATGGCATAAATATGAAGGTCGCTCCTAAAGTTTTTTATTTTCATAATTATATTTAAAGGTAATAATTTTTTTTTGAGGTAAAGAGGTATTCGATGTCAAGGTTTTATTGAAATTATATTCAAACCATATATCTAAATGATCTTATACATGCCAATATTTCTACTAACTGTAAGTTTAATTGTAACCAATTCATATCTAAATAATAATTTAAAATAATATATAGAAAAAGTTTATAATGTTTAATATAAATATAAATTTATTTATAAAATTTAATAAATATTTATATTAATTCAATTTTATTATATTTTGATTTATATTTTAATAAATAATTTATTTTTAAGATAATCTAATTTTTATAAAAAAATAGTTGAAAATAAATAAATAAAATTTCATTATATATAAAATATTATTATTATTATTATTATTATTTTAAGATAAATATCATTTCTTTATTATATTATAAAAATTTTAAAATGTTTTATATAAAAAAAGTGATATCTCTTACATAACTAATTGATCAGTAAGTTTAATGCTAACTTGTTTATAAAAACTATCCAAGTGATAAAGAAAAATAAATATTAAACTGATATATATTAAAAATAGTATCAAGTAGTTATAAATATTTATTTAGAATTATATGAGATAAAATTTAAGAAAATAAAAAAAGAAAATATTAAACAAAAAAAAATATCAAAAAAACTAATTATAGTATAAATAATATCTAATGTTATTCTGGTAGTTCCATTCTCTTGAAGTATAATAATAATTTTCAAAATAGTCAGGCTATAATTTAAAATATATAATAATATTGATGACATGTCTTCTTAATAACTGTTTTTTAACTCCACAGGCCAAAGACATCTCCAATAATTCACAAAATAACATTATTATTGATCTACCTTCTATTGTGGCTAACTCATTAATCCAATCTAAATATAATTATTCCAAATGTATTTATAATCTAACAACTCTATCTACCAATTCTAATTCTACTACTATTTCTTCTAATGCTGAGTAGGTATTCATAGCTGCTTGGTGCCATCTGGCAAAATATATTGTTTTAAATTTTCTTTTCAATCTTAGTCGTATGGTTACTGTAGGCAAGCTAACATTTAATTCATTGTACCAACATATGAGAGATGTTGTTTCTTTTACAATATATACCCTGCTATATACAAATTAAATAAAGAAATGATGTTTACCTACAAAAAAAAAATAATTGTTTTTTGAATTATTGTTGGTAATAGTAATAATATTGTTATTTAAGTTTGAATATTTAGTAATGATAAAAAAAAAAGTATAATTATAATACAAAGGATATCTTGAATTAGATATGTTATACTGCTTGTTTTATTTAATTAAAATAAAAAGCTATTTTTAAAAATTGTCAGGCTACTGTTCAAAATAAATAATAATATTATTAACATATTGTTTGGATTATATTTTGTTGTAATTGTTAATATTTTTGTTTGTATAATAATTTATTTATTTGTTAATAATGGAATTTTATTTTAATTATTACTTATTAGAATAGGTTTTGTTTATATAAATTATTGTAAAATATTAATTATACAAGTTTGTTTTAATATTTAATAATGGTTGATGATTGAATTAAAAGTATAGATCAATTAATAGAAGTTGATTTTTTGTTAAAAAATTTTTTAAATAAAAATTTTTAGTTTTTTATAATGTAGCAAAGTATATTAAGTAATAGTAAGAAATAAATATTAAATAGATTATTAGTGTTTCAAGTTAATAATATAAATAATTTTAATATAAAGTTTAATTTTTTTGATTAAAAAAAAGTTTTTCAAGCAAAAAATATAATTATTAAAAAAATTTATATTGTTGTAGGGAAAAATAATGGGTAAATGATAGGAAATTATAAGGGTAAGTATATCAGGTATAAATGGTATATCAGGTATAAGTAATATATCAGGTATAATAGGTATAATAGGTATAAAGTAAAAATGTATATAAGTGACCTGAGAATGGTCAAAAAGTAAAAAGAACCAGAATAGGTACTGCGCAACTGTTAAATAAAAACCATCTTTATTTGATAAACTATTGCCTTGTGATTGACCCCAGTGTCGCGTAGCTAACGGAATTGCTGCGCGTGAAGTAACCATTGAGGACGCAAGATCGACGGACTGATCTGTGTCAGCATTACGAACTTTGGCCAAATTCACACACCTCTTTTGAGCAGAAACTGCTCCGATCGTTACACGGCGTGAGACAGATCGAAGCGACTGACTCGCTGTGATTTCACCACAACAATATATTAGAAAAAATAGAAAATAAAAAGAATTCTAAAAAAATTTTATAAAGAAATAATTGTACAAACCTTTCTTTATGCAATTTTTTAAAAAAGCAAGATTTTCAAATTGGTTTTTTTTTAATTAAAGATTTCATTCTAATGTATCTATATATCTTTTTAATTTTCTTAAGGCTCTTATAGTAAAAATAAAAAAAATATAAATATCTTTGAATATTGAAAAGTGAAAAAATATTTGTTTTTTTAATTTTAAAGAAAAATCACTATAAAAAAATTTTTTTAAAAAAAGTTATGTATAGAAATAAAATACTTCTTATAATCTTATTAATAAAGTAAATATTAAATGATATATAATCAATAATTAAATATAAAATATATAACTATATATATCAGTTTATTACTTATTGTAGTAAATATATTTTTAAAAAACTTTAAAAAAAAAGAAAAAAAGAAACTATCTATTAAAAAAAACAAAAAAAACATTAAAAACAAAATTATTAATTTTATAAAAAAAAAAACAAAAAAAACAAAAAAATATTATAGCTTTTATTAAATATAATTCTTAAATATATTTGTTTTAAGCAAATTTTAGTAATGTACAAATTATATATAATTTAATGGATTTAATTATATAATTTTTATAATATATTGTTATTATATATAGTATAGTTATATTTATAGTTCTAAAAATTGAAATTGAATAGACTTGTATAGATTTTTATAAGATTCAAAACATTATTTAAAATAATAATAAGTTATAATCCATATAGTAAATTTAATATAAATCTGAAAATCAAAAATTAAATTAAATTAAATTATTGAAATTCTTAGTTATATTGTAATATTGATAATAAAAAGACTAAAATCTATTTTGGATATATATTATTTTGTTTTAATAAGTTGTTATATATTATAATTATTAAAACCTATACAGAACATTAATTATATATTCTTTCAATTCAATATATTATTATATTGTTTTGATATAATTGATATTTTATGCATTGTAAATCTTTTAATAAAAATAAACTGATTTTGATTTTTATATAAAAAATAAAAAGAATTTGATATGTATAAGATTTTATGAAAACTATAAAGACTAAACAAAAAAAAAAACTTTGAAAAAATAAAATACTGCTTTATTTAAAGTAGTTGTTTATTATTATATATAGTTTTTTAAAAAAATATTAAACAATAATGTATTAAAAATAAGGATCCTAACAATTCTCTTTGATTCTGTATTCGATTCTCAAGTTTATATTAAATTTAATAGGTGGGGTATACCCCACCATCATTTTTAATAGTGTTCCAAACCTCATACAATTCTGTTCAATTCTATTCGATTCCAATTTTCGGAACCATAATTAAAAATATATATATAATTTTTTCTTATTTTAAAAATTGTATATATAGATTTTGTTTAATAAAGCAAAAGATTATTTGAATAAGTATTTGCTTTCTTATAACATTTATCTCTTATAAAAAAAACTCTCTCCCGTAAATCGATTTTTGTCAAAAAAATTTTCTTTTATAGTAATAACCTTTAAAATAAACATTTTGTTCCTTTCCAAGCACCTCCAAGTGCACTTTACATCCTAACTACTTCCACTATGGAGCCCTCAACCTTCTCAACAAATCAAAAACAATTTCTTCATGCAACTATCCATAGTGACTGGAACCATAAACTTCAAATTTATTACCTCGACTTAAAAACAAATACAATCCACAAAACTGATTATGCCAGAACTATTACCATTCCCAATTTTGTCAACTATCCCAAACACTTTCTTATTATCAAAGAGAGAAAAAATATAGAAGAAATTCTCAATACTAGTGCTATTAAGAATATCAAAACTATACATATTGCTGAAATTCATAGATCTTTGACACAATTGACGCAATTATTTGACACAATTAATTGAGTCATTATTAAAATATATAAATAATTGAGTTATGACGCAATTATTTTTGAAGATTTTGGGAATTGAGTCAACAGCAAAATAATTTATGCCACATGTATAATCAAAACTATTATTTTCGAAGAAACTGCTGTCAAAAAAAATGCAATTCCTATGATTAAAGTCATCATCCAAAACCCCAGAACCAAAAACTTTAACTTCAACTATATTATCAATATTGTCAATGAAATAGAGAAAGTCCAACTTGACCAACACCTCCACAAATGCTTCCAAGAATTTCTTTTCTCTTCTGGTGAAAAAATAAAAAACCCCATGTAGCTTCCTCCTAAAAATGATCTACCATTCATTAATTCACTTGTTCCCCAAAAAAGAAACGATAATCAATCAATTACAATACAAACACATGCAAATGTCTTGTCTATCACCCCAGCCCCTCTTCAATATGGCAACACCATAGAAATTAGTGAAACACATGATGAACCAATGAAACTCTCTGATCTGAATCCTACTCTAACAAACCCTTC